TATATATATACAAAGATATCTTCATAATGGCTGCCATTTTTACTGGAGTGAGGTGGTATAGTAGAGTAGTTTTGATTTGCATTTCTCTGATTGCTAGAGATGATGAGCACTTTTTTGTATATTTGTTGATTGATTGTATATCCTCTTCTGAAAAAGTGTCTGTTTAGGTCCTTGGCCCATTTATTGATTGGATTATTTGTTTCTTTCATACTCATCTTTTTGAGCTCTTTATATACCCTAGAGATTAAAGCTTTATCTGATGTGTGAGGGGTAAAAATTTGTTCCCAGGATGTASGCTCCCTGTTCATCTCACAGATTATTTCTTTTGCTGAGAAAAAAAACTTTTTAGTTTGAATACATCCCATTTGTTGATTCTTGGTTTTAATTCTTGTGCTGTAGGCATCTTATTAAGGAAGTTGGGATCTAGCCCCATGTGATGAAGTTTAGGGCCTACTTTTTCTTCTAGTAGATGCAGAGTCTCTGGTTTAATTCCTAGATCCTTGATMCATTTTGAGTTAACTTTTGTGCATGGTGAGAGATAGGGATTCAATTTCATTTTGTTGCATATGGATTTCCAGTTTTCCCAGTACCATTCATAAAAGGTACACTCATACACTGCTGGTGGGACTGCCAATTAGTGCAGCCAATTTGGAAAGCAGTATGGAGATTCCTTGGAAAGCTAGAATGGAACCACCATTTGACCCAGCTATTCCTCTTCTCGGACTATACCCAAAGGACCTAAAAACAGCATACTACAGGACACAGCCACATCAATGTGTATAGCAGCAAAATTCACAATAGCTAAACTGTGTAGCCAACCTAGATGTCCTTCAGTGGATGAATGGATTTTAAGAAATGTGGCATTTATACACAATGGAATATTACCCAGCACCAAAAAGAATAAATCATGGCATTTGCAGGGAAATGGATGGCATTAGAGAAGATTATGCTAAGTAAAGTTAGCCAATCCCAAAAAATCAAATGCTGAATGTTTTCTCTGATATAAGGGGGGTGACTCAAAGTGGGGTAGGAAGGGAGAGCATGGGAGAAAGATTACCTCTAGATAGGGAATAGAGGTGGGAGAAAAAGAGAGGGAGAAGGGGAATAGCAAGGATGGTGGAAGGAGACAGTCATCATTATACAAAATACATGTATGAAGATGTGAATTTGCTGTCAACATACCTCATATAAAAACAGAGATATGATAAATTGTGGTATAAAGGTATTAAGAATTGTAATGCAAAAAAAGAAAAAGAGACAGAGCTCATGTATAATGGCACAACTTGGAGTGAACATACTTTATATACAGAGTTACAAAAAATTGTGCTGTGAATGGATAACTATGAATGAAATCTATCCCACATTGGCAAGTTAGTTAAGAATAAATTTTTAAAAAGATATCTATACAATTAAATAATATTCATAAAAATGAAGTCCTGTCATTTGTAACAATATGAATGGACCTGGAAGACGTTGTGTGAAATTAAATAAGTCAGGCACAAAGACAAACACTTAATGATCTCACTCATAAGTGGAATCTAAAAAAGTTTATCATAGAAATAGAGAACAGAATCATGTTTACCATAAAGTAGGGAACATAGAGGGGAGGGAAAGAAGGATAGTTCAGTCAATAGTCAACCACTGTTTTCAAAGAACCCAAAGGAAAAGCTAAGAAAGCCTACCTTGAGAGTTTTGACACAYACATAAACACATACTGAATATTCTGTTATGGCTAATGCTCAAATAGTGTTCTGGTTTTGATTGTTTATTTTTACCAAAATCCAAATCATGTTGTTTCATTGAGTATAGTCTAGAATTACTTTGTCAGCAATCTCCTGAAAAGTAGAAAGTTTTATAAACTTTTGAAAAAAATTATACACACACACACACACACACACACGTAATACAAAGTGAGAGAAACCATGAATTCTTTTAAATCTCCAGGTTAAGAAATTAACATGCTTTCATAATATAAAATATTTCTACTGTGCCACATTATTCCCATGTGGTGGTTAAATCTAACATGAGCAGTTTTTAAGTCACCTGGGTGAACTTCCCTATGTGATATCATCCTTAATATGATARATTATCCTTTGTATGTATCTTTTATATTTCCTTATGCATTAAAGAATACTTAATGGAGAAGAAATCATTAAGATGCCAAAAAAACTTTATTATGGCAAAATAAATAGATGCCAGCTGTTTATATTATCAATCTATTCTTTGGGTCATAACACTAAAAAATAAAACAAATACCCATAAAGTTAATTTTTAAAAAATCCATTAGTTCAATAGGCATATTATGCAGSAAGGGAAATCAACAAACTGTAGATATAAGTAAAATTGCAGGATTTCTGTAAAGAAAAGAAAATAACAGAACATAATATATTTACGCTGCTTCTGGAACTTCATGGGGCATCCATCAGGGGAACAAAAAGAGGGCAGATGATCTGCTATAATCTGTGGCCTAGACCCCCAGAATAATAGAATAATAATATTTGTTTAAAATCACTGTATGTGTGGGGTATGGTGGCACACACCTGTAATACCAGCAGCTCAAGAGGCTGAGGCAGGAGGATCATAAGTTGAAAGCCAGCCCCAGCAACTTAATGAGGCTCTMAGMAACTTAGAGTTTGTCTCTAAAATAAAATGTAAAAAGGGCTAGAGATATGCCTCCATGGTTAAAGCACTCCTGGGTTCAATCCCTAGTACCACATAGAAAGAAAGAAGRAAGAAAGGAAGGAAAGAAGGAAGGAAAGAAAAATTCATGTTTTGTGTCATTTAATCCTTAAGATTGAATATTTTGGGTCTAGGGTTGTGATTCAGTGGTAGAGTACTCGTCAGGCACGTGTAAGGCACTGGGTTCAATCAGCAGCACAACATAAAAATAAATAAATAAAGTTGAAAAAATATTGAATATCTTCTTCATSATATTTTATCATAGTCTATTTAAATATCTACTTTTAGTGAGAAAATATCTGTTGATGTACAAGATGCTTTTGACTGCCATGAAAAAACCCAAGGTCAGTCTATATGCAAAAGCCTTTCAAATCAGATAATCTCTCTGAGCTCATGTTATGATTTTAAAAGATGATAYACTTTATTAAATTCTATGTTGTTTTTGTTAACAGATTCATGTCGATTTCACACAAAACAAATTAGAGGTTTGTATGTGTAAACCAGTACTATACACAGCAAAAAATGAAAAAGAGTAGTAGGACATTAAACTGTAACCTGTAAAACTTTACTGGCCATAAAATAAGTATAATGTATGGCAAAGTGTGACCTAAGAATACATAAGCTATTAAATGCTTCAAATATGTTAGTTTTCTTATCCTTTTTGAAATTATCTGGAGTCACATTTTAATTAGATGTTGGAGGAAGTATACCATTTTATCTGTAAATTAAGATGGTGACAATGGGGGTGGGTGGGTAATGGAGGACATTCTCTATAGAGAGGTYTTTATGATTGAAAGCACGTACCTGAGAGAGTAAGGCAGATCCAAAAGTATCACAATAACTCATTTTGGAAACAACATGAATTCCACTTGGAGAATTGTAAGGAAGAGACTTAAAAGTTAAACCAGGTTTTATTAGAAAATTCTCAAATCATGCCAAGACAAGCAAATGCAGAGTGAGAAAGTACAGCATATAGGCTGTACATTCACATAAACATATGCATGGTATATATGCAGATCCAGATACATGTACCATATATGCATATAATCTGGTAGTAATATATGCATATAATCTAGTAGTAATGACAATAAATTAAAAGTTAATGAAGAGATATGATGTAGTCAGAGTTTCCTTTATGAAGACTCATCCAGCAACAATGTTTCATAAGGAAAAGAGTGCCAACAGGATGGAGGAGATAGACAACCAGAGTTTTGCAAACATGCTAGGAAGCAGTTTTTAGATGAGGGATTCAGTAATATCAATAGGAATGTGTATGAAATTTAGGTGCTGAGGGGAAAGGCAGGAGTGAGGCTGAAGATGGATTACTCATTACACACAAACCATGGAGTAGGAAGCCAATGATCAAGAAGTTTTCCAGCATAAAACATACAAATGCTAGCTCGTTTTCACTCTTTCTCAGAAATCCACTTGGAAATCTGACATAATATCATGTTTTTATTATTTGACCTTTGGAAATATATACTTAAAGCTCCTCTTTTTCCATTATATATTTCGTCAACAATTTTTTATGTGTTACTACTTTATCTTAATAGCTTCATTGTTTTTAATTCTAGGATAATTGAACCATTGCCCGCTGATTTCTTCTCCTCATGTTCTTCTTAATCCAATTCTTCAATGTAATCTTGTTTTCTGAATTAGTGAAGCTTTTTAGATGGTAAGACAACACAAGAATGCAACTAGRAATGGCCTCAGAATGCATCATAGATTGTGAGAGGTAACTGGCCTCTTCCCTCAACTCACGCAAGCACACTGAGCCATGCCTTTGCTGTCATAATTTTGTCGTTGCATTCCCAGTTCTGTTTATTTTTCTGTATGGTGTGTAAGTTAAGTTTCTACAGGAATGAAATTCACTATTTCCCAAAAGGATGGACTGAAAGAACATTTGATAGACACCCATATTCCAGGGATTTGTTAACTGAAATRCCAACCTGCCTCTTACACAGAGCTCATGTGATATGTCTGTAAGTTACACAACTGCATTCAGATCAAAGACATAGTATTAACTTCTTCTCATAGGAATTACACTATTTTAACAGTTAATGCATCTGAAGCCACAGTGAAAAAAACAATTAAACCTATAAAGTGTTCTTATCTGAAATTATTTTAGTAAGTTATAACATTTGATACAAATCCTTGCATGCTTTTGAAAGACATAAGCAAATGTTTTATGGAGTTTATTAGTTACTTATACTTTATTAAAAGGCTAACTCAATTATAAGCGCAAAAATCTTTGAACACTGAACAAAATACAACCACATTCAACTTGAACATTTTTGCCACTGAAAAGAGTATTATGAGATCTAAACATTCCTTTTTAAAAATTTTGTCACTGAATCTATGACTTGCTTATTCCTCAAACTATATATAATTGGATTCAATAGAGGAATTATGATAGTATAAAATAGAGAGACCATCATATCTTGATCCTCTACTTGTGGAGATGCAGGGTGCACATACATGAAGAGAAGAGGACCATAGTACAGAGACACTGATAAGAGATGGGCTCCACAGGTGGAGAAAGCCTTTCTTATGCCTCTGGCTGACTTTTTTAAGATTGTGAAGAGAAGAAGTGTGTAAGAGACCAGAATTGTCAAAATAGTGAAAATCTGAATTGAACCAGAGAAAATAAAAACAATTAGATAATTAATTGAAGGATCAGTGCAGGAAATCTTGAACAATGATATAATATCRCAATAAAAGTGATGTAKTATGTTGGAATTACAGAAGGTTAATCTGAATAAAAATCCTTCATGAATGAATGYGTGAAGAAGTCCACCTACAAATGACAAGACTAACAGATTTATGCATAGTCTGTTGGTCATTATTACTGGATAGAGTAAAGGTTTGCATATGGCTGCATAGCGATCATAAGCCATTGCTGCCAGGAGAAAACATTCTGTGGTTGCACTGATATTAAAGGAAAAGAATTGTACCATGCATTCAGACAGAGAAATGAATTTATTCTTACCTAAGAAGTTGACCAGCATCTTTGGAATCACTGTGGATGATATAGATGCATCCACAAAGGCTAAACTCCCAAGAAATAAGTACATGGGGATGTGAAGCTGGGGGTCTTTCCAGATGAGAGTAATCAACCCAAGGTTCCCCACAAGGGTGATGAGGAATATCACCAAGAACAGCAGGAACAGRGGGAGTTTCCACTGTGGTTGATGTATAAGTCCTGTGAGAACAAATACTGTCAGTGAAGTTGYGTTGTCCTTTTCCATATTCTCAGTGGATGTCCCCTAAAATGAAATATAGTATTATAAGAAAGCATTCACAATTTTAGAATGTGAAAATTGGAGCAGTAGAATAAAACCCATGCACTTATCAGAATGCCCTTTCAATTTTATTTAATATTAATGTAAGGGAAATTATATCACAGATTGAAGAGATACAATAAACTTGATTATTTCTATTTAAATTGGAATAAATTAACAGATTTAAAAAACAAGAGGTCTTATAAGAAATGTTGGATTGGAGATATACCTCAGTTGGTAGAGTGCTTGCCTCACATGCACAAAGCCCTGGGTTCAATCCCCAGCACCACAAAAAAAATAGAAAGAAAGAAAAAAGAAAGCAATGTTAAATTTGGGGAGACACTGTTAATGTGATAGGAAAATGCTGTGTGTGGGTCACAGGTGCAGGGTCCAGGGAAAAGATACTTGGAAGACCTGAATTGTGAAAAGAATTAAATGCGACAATACAGATATTATTCAACTGAGATAAAGCAAAAACTTTTTAGGCACTGAAATTTTAAAATAGGAAGCAGCATTAAAAATATATTTAAAATAATTTTTAAAATATGGCAGTTGAGAAGATGAGTTTCTGGGAGGACAAACTGGCATCAGTTTTTTAGACCCAATCATTTATCAGAAATGTCTGGGGATATTTGTACAAAAAAAAACAGATTGTGAGATATTATTAGAAAAAATTAATTAAGTAGTTTAAAATCATTTGCATTTTTAAAAACAATACCYAGGTGATTTAAATGCATCTGAAGTGATCAGACCATGTGTGATATGATATTGAGAGTGATGAGCACAAAGAGATAGATTAAAAAGAATTCACAAGAGGCTGGGATTCTGGCTCAGCAGTAGAGCGCTCACCTAGCGTGTATGAAGCCCTGGGTTCAATCCTTAGCACCACATAAAAATAAATAAATAAAGGTATTGTGTCCAACTACTACTAAAAAATAATTATTAAAAAAAAGAATGTATAATATAGAGTTACTAGTATGCAGTGTCATAGCACCTGTGAATGGGAGGTCAGTAGAGGAAAGACAAATCATTTAATGAGATATGTAGATGGTCATTAAAAATTGAGATTGAGAACTTTGATGCATGAGCAAAATAGTGAACATGCAAGTGGTATGTCTGCAGTAGTATTGAATCTATTAACGCTTAATAATGATAATGATGTGGATGTCATTGGAGTAATCGGAAGGCAGTGTTATGAATGGCCTATGCGTTCATGTATACACAAAGAAAAGAGAATAAAGACAAGGAAGACATTAAGGAACTTACATTATTATATATTATATTATTATAAAAAGGGGATGGAAAGCATTTACTACAAGGTCCACATTCAATACCTTTTCTGTCATATAGTCTTGGTGTCAGGCTGTGGCAATATAGAAGGCAAGAAACTAGAAAGTCACTTTTCCATTCACCTCACATGTACATCCAAGGAGCTTGGCCTAGTTTTATCCAAGTAAATSCACCAGAGCCAGGTTGGGCTTGAAATACGAACAGAATCAGACAAAGTTTCACACAGTAAAAATAATTTTAGTAGTATAGGTAGCCAAGGTAGCAATATTAAGACTCCAGGAAMAGTATCCTTCATCCACCAAGATGGCAGTGATAGTGTGAGTCGCGGTATCTGAAGTTCAACAGCAGTTASAACCCTCATTGAGCTAGTGCATCAGAACATAATTTTGGCTATTGGTTGACTGCATTGCCTTTTCTGTTCCTGCCCATTTTTCTATCTGATTACTCCAATCTCTGTAGCGTTTCTATGTTAGCATCAGTTTCCATTCAATAAAATTATTTCCTGGTGCCAATCAAAATTCCAGTCYAGCTTCACTATGAGGCCAAGGAGAGACAAGAAAGGGACACTGAGCAGAGTATAACTGAACATTGAAAGATGTTATCTTAAAGAGAGAAAAATACTAAGAATGACAGAGTGATGTACAGAACCAAATGCCAAATTAAATGTTCTAGAAGGATCAGGAATCAGTGGGGGTCACTAAGTGTTGAAATTTTCAAAAATGTTAGTGGCTTTGATGAGACCAGATTCCTATCTGTGATACTGTTGAGGTCAGAAAATAGTAAGAAATAAGTGGGAAACATGGCACTACAGTGAAGGGAAATAGAAAGTGTTTGGAGAAATATGGAGGACAGTAGGCATTTGTCTACTGTCCACTRTGATCTTTTTTCTTGCAGGACACATCCTAATAAAAATTTTCAAATAAAAGAGTAAACAAGTGACAGTAGAGGTGAGGAAGGACTCAAGAGAGAAAAAGAACAGAAGAAGTAAAAAGTGAAATTTGAGTGGGTGAAGGAAAAACAAAAAGGGGCAAAAGAAATAGGCAGAGTATAACAAAGACATAGAAACACAAGTCAAAGCACAGGGAGAGAGGAAGTACCAGAGGAAGAGGGCCAGAAACTAAATGAAAGGAGAGTCTTTGAGGCTTTCCTACAAACCAAAGTCAGTTTGCTATTGAATATGCTTTTGAAAACATATTTTGATTTTCAATTTTATTTCATAAATTTTGTGTTTTTGATATCATGGCCTGATTTTTCTTTTAATATTTAAATGTTACTTTATTTTCATTATTATGACAATTAGAACAAATTTCTCTAGAAAACTTGCTGATTTTATTTGAAAAAACATTTCTCCTCCAGTTGTTTTTGGTTTGGTTTGGTTTCTTGGCATAATAAAATTCAGACAAAGACTAAATTMTGTATATTGGCAATATATATAACACCAGTATTTCCAGTTGTTAAGTGAATTTTTGTATGAAAAAGTTTTACTTCTGTACAGTCCCAAGTCACAAAATAATTGAAAATTCTCAAATAAGCTTTTTTTTTTTGTGGGTACTTAATGAAGTCATAAATGCAACAAAATGTAGGGGAGGGATATTTTCTACATATTTTTTAGGTATTGTCAGAAGAGGCTGGAGGCTCAGAGGAGCAAAGATTTAAGTGACAGATCTTAAATTTTGATCAGAAAATATRATTAATTAAAGGAATAGTCTTTTATTGGAATCAGAGAAATTGTTTATACAATAATCATTATTTCTTATGTACTAAAACTCAATTTTAAATTGCTTATCATTCTAGTTCAGAAGTTAAAAGTTATGATGATGATAGTAAGTTTAAAAAGATAATAAAGCATCACTAAGGGGAACAATTCAGGTTAAACTATTTTTTTCTTATWTTTCTTACCATATATAATGACAATAATAAAATATATAGATTATTCATYTTTAATATTATTTTACACCAGCTATGTTGGAATCCAAATTTAAAATTATTATAAATTAAACAATATTTTAAACTTTCTGTATAAATAATAGTATATACTATAAAAATTCTTTCCTTCTTACCAATAATATTTTCAAATAAATTGCAGAGATCCTTAAAATATTCTGGACTTTCTAAAGCAGAAAAAAAATCACAGTAGTACAGGATTGATAATAACAAAAGTAGCAGTTGATTGATTTTGGAGGTTTARCATTCCAGTCTCAGTAAAATGCTGTTTATATAAGTTTGCTACGGACACATGTATCAGCCAGTTGAATAATTATGTGCTTTTTTCCAGAACTAAAAAGCATGGAGATCTGAATTTCCCCTAAGAGTACCAATGTTCCCCATAGGACAAGTAAAGTTGTTCTACTGGGCACTGTGGATTTGGACATTTGTCTGTATTTATAAGAATTATACAATGTCTTGATATTGAAGTTCTATCTTRTCTTAGAATTAGATAATATTGTACCTCTAACTCTGTTTTACCTTTTAAAAGTTGTTTGACAATTTGGTATCCCTTGCATTTCCATGGGAATATTAGAATCATCTTGTCAATTCTGAAAGRCAGCAAAATGTGATTTTGATTGTGATTTCATTAATCTATACTTACCTTTGAGGAAAACTGACATGTTTTTCAATATTAATTMTTCTGACCAAAACACTAAATATTTTTCTATTTATTTTGATCTTTAATTTCTCATAGAAGTTTATTTTTAATTTATTTTTCACTTATTGGTTTTGCACAACTTTTATCAGATTTATCACTGTTTTTATAAATTCTCATAAGTATTGCATATACTGTTTTAAATTTATATTTCGGACTTTATTACTAGTATGGAAATATAATTGATTTTTAAATATTGATTTTACATTCTGGAGAACTGCTAAATTTATTTATTAGTTACAATAGTTTTTTTTTTTTTGTCTGTTTGCTGGTTTGTTTTTGTAGATTCCATTGGATTTCTCTTTGAACAATCATATCAATCTTTAGAACATGTAATTGTGTCTACCTTTCCAGTCTGGATAAATTCCATTTAATTTYTATTTTAATTAATTAATTAATTTTAACTCTTGTTTTCAATAAGAATTGCATATATTTAAGTTATAGTATGTAATGCTTAATGTACATAGATRATTAAGCAAATGAACATATCAGTCTCATCACTTGGCTGGTTACCTTTTTGATGTGCTTTCTGACAACACATGATATCTATACTCTTCACAAATTTTCAGCATAATACAATATTATTAAATATACTCATTAAGCTATAATTAATTCACTAAATTTTTTAAATGTTTGAAAAGAAACTGATAGAGACTCTAATTTATTTAATTATGTGTAGTTGGTGTCCCAGAAGGAAGGTAATAGCCAAAAATATTGTTGAAGAAATAATGGCCCAATTTTATGATAAATATAAAYTAAGAGATCAAAGAAAGTCAGTAGCCCCACACAAGATAAATACAAACAAAACTGTACCAAGGCACATATTCAAATATCTGAAGGACATGATTGAAAAATACAGTATCCAATTAGGCAGAAAGGAGTGAAGGGAGGGGAGGGAGAATGAGGGTAGGAAGGATAATARAATGAATTAAACATTATCACCCTATGTGCATATATGACTACATGACCTGTGTGATCCTGCATCATGTACAACAAGCCAAATTATACTCCATTTATGTGTTAAATGTCAAAGTGA